CCGGTGCACACAGAAGATACAGGGCCATGAACCCTGGCACACATATCTTCAAGGAGTACACAGCAATCTATATCCCTCCTATCTTACACCAAATAGTCAAGACAAATGCTATTCAGTCCTACAATAAAAAACACTTAAGACAAACCAATGAAGAAATAAAAAGTTACGTGTGCCAAACTTCAGTTGAACTCCTTCCCCTCCTTTCTGCTAATCTGAGAAAAATTGTATGGACTCCATCAGAAGGGATATGTTCCTATGCGCACTTGTGGTAGAGGCAGGAGGAGTCCGAGAGCTGATCCGATCCAGCTCAAAATTCCCTCTGAGTGCTGATAGCTCTTCAGCCTGGTTGTATGAAAGACTGACAGCATCCGCAGCTAACAGCTATTGACAGAGCAACAGAATAATTGGCCTGGCACGCATCCACCTGCTTTTATTTCCCCTGACCCTGACGACAGGGGTGGAAGGGGAAAGCGAGGGAGGATCAAACCAACACAAAACTGGACTGATGTGGTCGTTCTTCAGAACGAGCCTGGAACAATGTTCAAATCCATATCCCAAACAGCAAAACAAAATTGACCTTCACAGGGCCCACTTCTGCTACCCAAATCAGCGTATTTTTTTAGCTTTTCCTCTTCCCTTCTGAAAACCCATCTTCAGGTATTACCCACTAACATTCCACGTCCCAGTTTCATCCACTATAATTGTGATCTATGTTGACAGGGTTTCCTTCCTTACGGAGGTGTTGTGAAGATTACAGTGACAAGACAGCCTGCTACTTCAGCACAGAGAACCACGGGATATTTTGCAAGAAAAACAAGAAACCCTCTTCAGGGCAGGACTGGGAAAGAGAGCATTGTATAGGAAATACGAGGTGGCCACATGTGGAACACGAGGCTTAAAGTTCAATATAAATAGTTGCTTCAACCACTATCACTGCCTCCGCTGCTCAGTGATTTAGGCAGAGGTCTTGTCCCCTCCATGCAAAGAATAGTAATCTTTTCTCATACACACGTATGACTCTACACAAAACATACTATGGTAGTTTCTTTAACAGGAAGGAAATGGTGCAATGGTGTTCTTCAAAAAGTATAAAGCTGTTACAGGTATTTAACTAGAGAATTCTGTGGGAAAACTTCTTTTTAAGGATTTTCTCCTGTACTCTGAATACCCAAAACTTGCATAAAGCAATAGAAATGTTTAGACATGCAAAAACTTCCAGCTTTGCCCTTGGAGAAATGGTTTTAAAAATAAAAAAATAAAGTTTTAAAAGAAAGCGAAGTATCTTGCTCCAAAAAGTATGCTTAACTTTTTCTTGATGAAAATGGGAGTGATCTGAGAATGGACATAATCTTCCCTCTTTGATCAACACAGCAAAGATAAAACACCAGAAATACTTACAATTACTAAGGCAAGTTCTTTCTACATCTGCTTTAGGCTATTTTGGCTGTAGCATTTATGTACTCTAATTATTTTATGCATTAAATACCATAAATATCCCTGTTGATTTGTGATCTATTTGTGGGTTCCAACATACAGCTGTATTTCATTTGGTTGAGCGGACATTCTGCAAGTAGGACTTGTACACCAATGCATTTCATGGACAATCATTATTACTTATGGATAAACCAGTAATGCTAACAGCTTTTCTTTATGCCATAGTTCAATTTTATGTCTATGTACCTATACCTAAGTGTACCTCTGTAGGAGAGAGGAAGAACATTTATGTATGATTCACTTTGAAAGCAAGTGAACAATCCTTTAGCTTCTTGTGGAAGGAACTTTGCAGTCCCTTTGCAACACAAAAAATACCTTTGCAAGCAAAAAAACCCTACCAATTTCTTCAGAGACAACAGATTTTTCTTAAAAACAATACACAAGATTAATAAAAATATTCTCTCTCTCCTTATGAGTAAGCCCCCTCCCCAAATTAGCTTAACCCACTGTACATATAGCACAACATTAAGTATTTCTCCATTTTGTGCATGCCTTCGGGGTTCTATTGATAGCTGCCATCTGCACAAGGTATCTTCCTTGACTGGCATGCACATAATACATTTTGTTTAGCACAATAGAAAGAGAAGAAGAATTAGTACTGAAGAATAAGGTATATCTCATAAAAAGACAATCATGCAAGTTACATCCACCTACCTGTACTAGTGCGATATGTGCCTGTGTGTGCTGGTTGCAGAGGGTCCCCCTGACTCTGGCTGAGACTCCTCATAGGGGGCTTCTGATAAACTCTGTCTTCGTAAATAGGATCTATATGGTGTTCTGGAGACTGCAGTGCCCTTAACTCGGAGCCAAGGTGGCTGTGCTGGCTGCTGTAAGATGCCCGAGACCCAGCTGCAAATAGATTTATAAGAGACATTTAAGAGAGAGGGAAAAAAGTGACAAATACAGGATCTGACTTTATTAAAAGTTGACTTGAAAGTAGCACTTAAACACCACCCCCCCCCCCCCCCCCCCCCAACAAAACAAATAAATAAATGTTTTCAACATACAAATAGTATGCAAGGGCAGCAACAGCGCCAGTTAATCACTTTAGCTGCATCATCCAGCTGCCTGCATCTACTCCAGAACCTCATTTCTTCCAAGGAAACTACATATTTTGGAGAGATAGATATCACGATATCACCTCTTCTTAAACAGAGACCAAAAAAACCCAAACCCTCTCAAAAAAGAAAAAAAAAAAACAACTGTGTGATCCAGGAATGCCCTAGACCAAAGGGGTCCACAGAAGAACCAGGAATGGGGGAAAAGAAAGGAGCAGCAGTGAGAAATAGTTTCACGCGTTATGCTCGTATCTTAAGATCTACAAATGAAATACGCTAAAGCTGATGAATAGATGTAGTTATATGAAGGCTGATCTTTTTGCTGGTTCACTAAAGTGCAATAGAACAGTCGTGCCTTATCAACATCTTGCCCTCAACAGTTTAAAAAAATCATATTGCTAAGACTTTCTACAACTTAAATATCCTCTGAGGATAAATAAATTAAATGTGCCTTCTGGAAAAACTATTTTAAGGATACAGCTCTTTTTTTTAAATAACAAGATCAAGTGGGATTGTATTAAAACATTTTCTTTTTCTACTATTAAAAGTATTATTTTCCATCATGATATTTAAAAATGAGACTTGTATATTTCCAGCTGTGGTTACTTTTGTCACTTGAATCCCTTTGTCACTTAGGTACAGTTCTGTGGTCCGTTAGCAAGATTCCCAAGGAGAGTCACGGGAAAGCCATACAAACATTACACATTTTGAAGGCAAGAATCAAGCAAGTACGCAACCAGCACTTGACAAAGGTTAGGTCTATACCACAAAGTGGTAACATGCTATTTAAATGTTTAGAAAAGCAACCAAAGATACAACTATTACACCCCTTGCTGATACTCCTGTGAGGTTAAAATCCTGGATGTGGGCGATGTTCTACTAGCTTAGCTTGTACTGCTCAGACCATCGGTGTAGCCATTCCTGCCGAAAATCTCTACCACATTGTGTCGGCAGTGGGTTTGTTGCATAAACAAACACTAAATATTTTTAAAATGCAAAGCACAGATATAAAGTAATGTGTGATAGCAACATAGGATAGAAATGAGAAAGATACACAGACAATTTAATACAAATTGTCTGGAGGAAAAGAATAATTTATTCCATTTCCTTCTTTATAATCAGCTTGTGCCATACATATGTTTTCTTCCAAATTTTTCAACGTACGTGCATGCTTTCAGTGGAATACCCTATTTGCATATTTTTTCCTTCAAACATTTTTCAGACTGACTTGCCATTAGCACACCACTGAAAGTAATTTTGTTCCCCTTACTAGAAAGTTTGCCAAGAATCCCAAAGACGTATTTTATCTATAACTACTGCAATTATCCAGGAAGTTGATATTACTCTTACAGAATTAAATTCTTCATGGTCTCCATTTTCAAAATGCTCTTTAACCCTGCATCTTTGAGACTGATTCTCAGAACAGCTGAACGGCTCCACCAAAATCTAGCATCCTTCAGAGTGGCCTAAAATACAGCCTGTTATGATTATGTCCAAATTTCACTGTGTACTTGGTTCAATGTGTATTCAGAGAAAAAAAATACAGAAAAATTGAGGGCAACATTTCAGAGGTTCAACAGTGCATCAACAAACCAGACTTGCTACAGAATAAAGAACGACATCCCCTTCTGTAAGTACTACAAATCTTTTGTCCATTTACAAATTAATGATGCTCTTCGGAACGACAGATTTTCTTCTTAATCCTTCTTCCAGTGAACTGAAAGATTTTCCCCATCGAATTTAGTGGCAGCATAACCCAAATATTAACATGTTCTCAAACAGTCGTGCTAGTCTTCTGGTGAGGTGGGCTTAATTCAACCTCCTTCATACTCTATTATAGATAGTTCTGAATCTGCAAGTGCTAATACTAGTCTAATACTAAACGGAAGTTTAGTATTAGTTTATTATGCTAATATTAAACAAAGGTTTATTTGCATACTGCACCTTAATTAAGACTGTAACACTACTGTACTAAACAGTAAACATACGTATAACCAGAGAAACTTCCTGACCAAAACACATTACAGTTCAAGCAAACAAGACAAGGAAGATGTGACAAACAATAAAGAAAACCAACATAACTTGCCCAAAAACAGCTAAGTGGCAATCTAGAAATAACTTGAAGCCACCTGAATAATAACATTATGGGTAAACACCCCCAAAAAAGGGGTGTTAAAACTCTATCAGGAGTAACTGCCACTATTCCTCTAATATTTCAAGAAAACAAAGATTTCAACAGGTAATTAAAATGTTTTCATTTTAAAAAACATAAACACTCTCAAATCTCAGAAATTAAGGCCATCAGAACATGAATATACTTTTTAAAGCATGTCTCTTAAACACCTTTAGTTTCAAGCAAAACTGATACTTTTCTAGAGACCTCAATATGCAATTTTACTACACTATTTCCAAATTATCAGATATCAATATTTAAACACAAAATACTAGCACCCTTTAAAGCTCTTAAATCTAGTTTAAAAAAAAATTAAGTTGGTACTTCAAAAACTGGAACAGCAAGTTCTGTTTTCGATTAAAATCTCTTTTCCATCGGTCTTAAAATTCTTACATGTATTAATTTATTCAACTCTCAAGAGCAACAGGTTTTTATTGCATGTTTTATTTAAATATTAAAATCAACTGACCAATAGCTATTATGCCAACAGTTATCTTTGTTGCTGGTGCTATATCATACCCAGTAAAGCTCACAAAGATAACTGTTGGAAAAATTAACACACAATTACAGCTGAAGTCAACAGAAGACTTGTAGATTTTTATATCATTTAAAAAATAAAAAATAATTAAAAAAAAAAAGGAAAAAAGGAAAGTGTGATGGATTTCAGACAACTGCATCCTACCTCATCTACACACTCAGCCCCTCCACCATATTCTGCTGCTACTTTGGAAGACACTGGAAAGACGGTTAAGATAATCGATCAAAGCAAAGACTGTGAACTCAAAGAATTGATGCCACTGAGAAAAGAGAGGTGTAACACGCCTCGTGCCTGCATCTTGGAAAAAAGGAAAGTGTGATGGATTTCAGACAACTGCATCCTACCTCATCTACACACTCAGCCCCTCCACCATATTCTGCTGCTACTTTGGAAGACACTGGAAAGACGGTTAAGATAATCGATCAAAGCAAAGACTGTGAACTCAAAGAATTGATGCCACTGAGAAAAGAGAGGTGTAACACGCCTCGTGCCTGCATCTTGGGTTAGCAGAGAACAGCTACATCCTTCGCTACCAGCAGCTGCAACCTGATCTGTATCATCTGCATCAGAAAAAATTGTATTAATGCAGTCTAAAGCTCGCAGAGGTTGGAAAAGCAACGAAGTCAGAATGGAAAAGCAGCAATCAATATACTACCAGGAAGCAATAAAACATCGGATTACCAAGGCCCATTAGCATTCCTGCATTCAAGGAGGCTCATCACCCTCAGAAGTGGTTTCCCTAAACCTAGAGGCATCATGAATGCATGGCTCACCCCAAACTGCACTTGTCCAAACCCTGTTCTCAAGTTATTTCTAGATTGCCACTTAGCTGTTTTTGGGCAAGTTATGTTGGTTTTCTTTATTGTTTGTCACATCTTCCTTGTCTTGTTTGCTTGAACTGTAATGTGTTTTGGTCAAGAAGTTTCTCTGGTTATACGTATGTTTACTGTTTAGTACAGTAGTGTTACAGTCTTAATTAAGGTGCAATGGATGAAGCCGCCATCCCTTCACCCCACTAATAACGCCGCACTGCTCTGGGTTGCTTGAAACCAAAGCAGTGATGCATCAAGGCCACATGCAAAATTCCTACATATTCTGAAAACGGACTCATCCCCCCTCCCTGGTCAACCCGTCCCTAACAGCAACGCTATTTTTCCCTTGGGGAAGTATAAGGCATCAAGCCCATTCAAAGACAGGTCTATGTACAAGTTCAAAGATAACTCATTATTAAATTTACAGTTCTGCAAGCCGTTAATTACAGATGATGTATTTAGCATCAGAGTAGACACAGAACTTTTATGACCGTGGTTATGGAGGAGTGGGGTTTCTTCTCCCTTCTAGATTAAAAAAAAAACCAAAACCCAAAAACATTGAGAAGAGCTAAACCATTATTTAGGGGCTGAAGAAACCACTTGATAATTAATTCCTCAAATAGTCCAATCTTTAGTTTGACCAAAGACTGAGAAATTGTTTGATTGCGATGCTGGAGATGCATCACAGCAGAAAGTACGGAGAAGACTAAAAGGCTCTAAAATAGCTGCAAAAGGCATCAAAAGTGAAGCAGACAAGTGAAAAAAAAAAGAAACTCAAAATAGGGTACATTTATATTTTTAAACAGAAACTGATTAACTGTAAGAACAAAGCATACAGAAAAGAGCGTCTTCTCTATCTTCTGAAGTCTCAAAGACTGAAACCTGATAGAAAGTGGAATGTCCCTTCTTCTGCATCTCTGTGGAGGCTGTAAAAGTAGACTGTGGTCAGGCTCCAGCAGGGGTATCGTGTGATCCCCCAGCCAGGTGAATCAGATTAGGGCTATGATGATAACCTAGAACCAGCCAGAAGTTCTACCAGATGAAGATACCACATTCTTACAACCTTTGCTCTCCTCCCACATTCAAGAGGGGCAATAGAAAGAACCCAGGAAGAGTGCAGTCCTACCTAATTGGATCAAAAAGACAGTCTCCACCCTTTAC